GTTGGGGTTGTAGGGATGTGAGGACTCAATGGTGTGGAGAATGGGCTCTTTATTAATAATAAAATAAAACAAAACAACAACAAAAACTACCCCGTGGGGGGAAAACAGGCTGGCATTAGCAAGGCTGGACAGGACAGGACAAGGCAGGGCAGGACACAACCAGGGTTGACACGAGAACATTCGACGACGAACTGGCACAAGACTGCAAACACAAGGACAATAAATAGGGAGCAAAACCAAGGAGGGTAATAAGGGATGACAAGTGGAGAAAATAAACCAATAATCAGGTAACAAGGTAGGCGGGATTAGACAATAGACATGAGAGCACATGGCACGCAGAAACAAACAAGAAAAGCCATGTGCTCACACAAAACAAAAACACAAGCACATGGCCAGCAAAACAAATCACCAGCCATGTACAAGACAAGACCCGAACACGCAGCTGATGAGAACTCCTAAGGCGTGTGTTCACACAAAACATGACAACATGAAAGCACACAGCCCATGAAAACACAAGCAGTGCGCTACACAGCACGAGACAAAACATAACATGAAAGCATGCGGCCGATAATGAACCGCGTGCTAAACAGAACACAACACACATGGACAGAAGAGCGTACGACCCGAGTGATCTCGAGACCGCACGCTCCACAGCAAGACAGAACATGGAGCGCGAGTGTCCGAACCCCGACATAAAACCGAAACTAGAACAAGACATGAGCGCCGGGATCCAAACACCACGCTCCAACATGAAACAAGGAAACAGGGCACACAGACAAGAGAGCGCACGGAAACAAGACATGGCGGAAGTGTCAGGGTTCTGTCACAAAACCATGAATAAACTAGACCAAAGTGACAGAACCCTGACAGTTAAGAAGAATAAATTACTGTAAAAACAAATACAAAAAAAAACAAAGTAAAGTAAAGTAATTTTATTTAAGGATTTCAGATATTTTTACTGGAGATTTTTGTAGTACATTTATCCATTGTTAGCCATCAACATGGATTCAGATTACATCCAAATCCAAATTGTAGTGTATGAACTGCAGAAGCAGTCACTCAAGCCCAACCAGGTGTCATTCAATCACCAGTTCATAGGTCACACATAACTGCAACCACACCTGAAACATCTGCATTACCATCTAGAGAGGAAACCACATTTATTTCACTTCAATAAGAATAATTCACAAAAAAAAATAAAAAATAAATACAGCACCAAATACTGACCGTACCTGTCAAACTCCAAAAAAAGCATCAATGAAAAGCCTATACAACTTTTGCACTGTATTCCAAGTATTCTGAAGTCAACATGCATGCTGTGTTTACTGATGTCAAGCCTGTTCAGGGCCCAATTTGTGAAACCAAAAATGGATGCAAATGACATTTTGTAGCTTGGACAAAAGGGTTGTATATTGCCCTAAACTCACACATTTAAGGTTCTACTTATATTTCTATTTCTATTTATTTCTATTTTTAGCGCTTTTCACGATACAAATCGTTGCAAAGCAACTTTACAGCAAATTAAGTTTCTACAATATTTAGTAGTAGCTTATCATTGGTGACTGTCAGCTAATGTACATATGGCAGAAATGTACGAAAAAATTAATTAAAGACGTAAACAAACAGACGATGAACACTATTAACAGCAATTATTATATGATATATTGGTATATTGATATATATTATATTGGATATATCGGTAACAATCTGATGACACAACCTCAAAGTCTGGATGACAACCGAGAAAGAATGGTGACACTGGAGAAACAGATGACCTCCAGGAAAGACTGGCATGGGTGTATTGGGCCAGCAACCCCATACACAGCACTCGCAAGAGGGCACCAAGCAAGCTACAGAAGCCACACATGAGCAATACCCCCAGAGTCTCCCGAGAGGGGGGGAGAATGAGAGACTCAACAGGACGGATTCAAAGGTTACGGCCAGGCCAGGACCAAGGACACACAGGAGGCTCACTCAAGCCACCATAACTGGGAAGGAACCAGAGGTAAAGTGCTCCTGCGTTAAGATCTGCAAGAACTTAAGGGGCCTCAAAATACACCAGGCCAAGACTAAGTGTGGGAGGGAGGAGACACAGGTGCAGCTCGCAGATCTAGAATCTGGTGAGACGCAGGAAACCTCCAGCCAGGAGGCACCCCACAGCGCTGGAGATTTCTCAGCATCTCAGTCACCTACACCCCAAAGGAGCATTTCCACATACGCCATACCACAGCCTGAACCCATGAAGGAGAGGATTAGGTGGCCAAAGATGTCGGATATCAAGGAGTGGGCCAGCTTCGATGAGGACTTGAACAGAATCCTTGAATCACGTCAGCGGGCACAGCTGAGCGGAAAGTGAATACCCTCACGGAGATCACGTATAATCTAGCAAAGGAACGATTTGGCACGATAGAGAGGAAGGGCAATATCAAGGCAGGGAAGCAACTGAACAGAAGAGAGAGGGAAATTTACAACCTAAGTAAATAAATCAAGAGCCTTAACAAGAGGTAAAAAAGCAAGCAGCACGGAGGAAAAGGAAGGGGTAAAGGAACTCACAAGCTGGCTTCGGGAGCGCCTTAGGAGACTAAGAAGGGCGGAAAGGATGAGGAAACGGAGCAAAGAGAAGGAGAGGCGGAGGGCCCAGTTCATAAAGGATCCCTACAACTTCACCAGGTCTCTACTAGGAGAAGCTAAATCTGGGAGTCTGAATAGCCCTAAAGAGGAGGTGGAGGCATTTCTCAAGGAGACGCATAGTGACCCAAACTGCCATCTTCCCCTAGATGAAAATCCAGAAATTGATATGGCAGAGCCCCCCACCATTATGCTCAACATCAATGAACCAACCTGGAAGGAAATCCAGGAAGTGGTTAAAAAGGCACGAGCGGCTTCAGCTCCAGGTCCCAGCAGTATACCCTATAGGGTGTACAAGAAGTGCCCACAGCTTCTCCGGCGGTTGTGGAAGCTGCTCCAGAGGATCTGGAAGAAAGGCACCATTCCACCAAGCTGGCAGAAGGCAGAAGGATGCTTTGTCCCCAAAGAGGAAGCCTCAGCGAGCATAAGCCAATTTAGGACCATCTCCCTACTCAGGGCTGAATGCAAAATCTTCTTCTCAGTGCTGGCAAAGAGGATGTCCACGTACATTATCGAGAATGGATATGTTAACACCTCAATCCAATAGTGTGGGATCGCAGGATTTGCGGGATGCCTGGAACACACAGGAGTCCTAAGCCAGATGATACATGAGGCCAGGGCGAAGAAAGGTGACCTGACAGTTATCTGGCTGGACTTGGCTAATGCCTATGGGTCTATCCTCCACGATCTAATCAGGACAGCTCTGAAGTACTACCACATCCCAGATCACCTCAAGATTATGATCAGCAGCTACCTGGATGGAATCAAGCTCCGTTTTAAAACGAAGGACTACATCACACAGTGGCAGCACCTCGAGAGAGGGATTGTCACAGGATGTACAGTCTCCCCCACCCTGTTCATCATGGGCATGAACCTCATCATCAAAGCAGGAGAAAAGGAAACCAGAGGCCCAATCATGGACTCAGGGATCCGGCAACCAGCTATCAGGGGTTATATGGATGCCCTTACAATCACAACATCATCCCATGTACAGGCTAGGTGGGTTCTAACAAAGCTTCATGAGGCGGCAAAATGGGCCAGAATGACTTTTAAGCCAAGAAAATCAAGGAGCTTGGTCATCAGGAAGGGTAACGTCTCCTTCAAGTACAATCTGGTCATACAAGGCGAGATCATCCCTTCCATCAAGGACAATCCCATCAAGTATCTGGGAAAGTGGTACGATGAGTCATTAAGGGACCACAACAATGTCCGCAGCACTGAGAAGCAAGCAGAGGGTTGGCTGAAGAAAATTGATAAATCAGGACTCCCAGGGAAGTTTAAAGCATGGTTTTATCAACATGGCCTGCTCCCCAGACTGATGTGGCTGATGACAGCGTATGAGGTCCCACTTACAGCAGTGGAAGGAGTGGAACATAAGATCAACTCACACCTCAGAAGGTGGCTGGGAATCCCTCCAGGCTTCACATCAGTTGGGCTGTAAATCAGATCAGGGCAATTACAACTACCCCTCTCTTCCCTGGTTGAGGAGTTCCAAGTAGCAAAGTGCAGGGTGGCCATGACCTTCCAGGACTCAAGAGAGAGCAAGGTCAGAGAAGCTGGTATAAAAACCAGGTTAGGAAGAAAGTGGGAGGACTCAGCATCTCTGGCCCTAGCAGAAGGAAACTTAAAGCTCAAAGACATCATCGGAGCACCATGCACGGGAAGGCAAGGCCTGGGAATGACCCACTTCCAAGAGTGGGGGAAAGCCAATCCTGTGGAGAGGAGAGCCATGGTCCAGGCTGAAGTAAAGGGCCTAGAGTAAGAGCGGAGGAAGGCAAAGGTTGTGGGGCTAGGATCCCAGGGAGCCTGGACAAGGTGGGATCTCCCCAAGAGGAAGGTGACATGGGCTGACCTTTGGAGGCTCGAGCCATATCGGATCTCCTTCTTGCTTAGGGCCGTCTATGACACCCTTCCAACCCCTGTGAATCTACACAGATGGTTGATGAGGAACGACCCAATATGCAAGCTCTGCGGGCAAAAGGGAACAAGGGCACACATCTTGTCAGGATGTAAGACCGCGCTTGCCCAGGGCAGATACAGATGGCACCATGACAAAGTACTGACTAAATGCTATGAAAACCTGGTGCAGGACTGCAGGGACAAAGGCTGGCAGACATGGTTGTACCCAGTCGAGGTAGGATGCAGGGGCTTCCCAGCCCAGTCAGCCTGGAAGCTGATGATAGACGTTGGACTGAGGGGGGCTGAGAGAAAGAAGGCAGTGTGAAGACTGGGGGAGGCAGCAGAGAGAGCCTCATGTTGGATTTGGAGCAGGAGGAAGGAGTTGAGCTGGCAGCCAGGAGGGAGTAAGTAGTGGCTGGCCACCACTGCTGACCCGCCAACAGGAGAGTGTGATGGTTAAGGGTCGAAACACTTCAGGATCGTTGGTAACCATCTGATGACACAACCTAGGAATAATAATGTGCATTTGATCAGATATAACTGCAGTACAAGATTATGATATGCATTATTTGAATGCTTGGCCAAAGAGATGTGTCTTTAATCTAGATTTAAACAGAGAGAGTGTGTCTGAACCCCGAACGTTATCAGGAAGGCTATTCCAGAGTTTGGGAGCCAATTGCGAAAAAGCTCTACCTCCTTTAGTGGACTTTGCTATCCTAGGTACTACCAAAAGTCCAGAGTTTTGTGACCTTAGGGAGCGTGATGGATTGTAGTGTGGTAGAAGACTAGTTAGGTACGCTGGAGCTAACCCATTAAGGGCCTTATAGGCAAGTAATAATATTTTGTAACTGATACGGAACTTAATAGGTAGCCAGTGCTGAGACTGTAAAATTGGGGTAATATGATCATATTTTCTTGACCTGGTAAGGACTCTAGCTGCTGCATTTTGGACTACCTGTAGCTTGTTTATTGAAGATGCAGAACAACCACCTAGCAGTGCATTACAATAGTCCAGTCTAGAGGTCAAGAATGCATGAACTAGCTTTTCTGCATCAGAAACAGTTAACATGTTTCGTAACTTGGAAATGTTTCTAAGATGGAAGAATGCTGTTTTTGTAACATGGGAAAATATGATTTTCAAAAGACAAGTTGATATCTAATATACTCATTGATATTTATGTACTCTATTGATATACCACAATTTTAATGTTTTATAAGATGCAAAAATCCTCTCAAAAGTAAGCCCAACCCTTTATATAATCAACTATAAAATGTCAAAATACCATTTTGGCAGCTCAGACACATTTTTAGCATTTTTTTTTTGTTTGTCTTTGAATAACATTTACTTGAATGACACCGCACTACATTCCTGTCACTACATTACTGTCATTTTGTTCGTGGCAGCCAAGAGCAATCACATTAACAGACTGCAGTTCAGGAACGTACTCACTTTTCACAAGTACACTTGCTTTGCCTGTCATTTTTACAGGCCTAAATGTGCAGTCTGAGGTGAGTTTACAATCATGTGGTAATGTTTGGAGTTTGTTAAGTGAATTCCACAGATTCTGCAAATGTCTGAGCACTACTGTAGCAGCATGTTGCAAAAATGTAGTGCATTTCAAGAACTTTACACATTAGAGTCACAATGAAAAATTTTGTGATTTATTCTTTTGTGACTATTCTTATTAATCAATAACTACACTGGAACAAATGAGTAATACAATATTAACGTGAAGTGAATCTTCATGCACGTCTTCATCATCTGATTGAACGATAGGAGTGTTCGATCCATCCTCATTGGAGGCCTGACTGTCACAGGTGGAGTTGGAGGAAGTGGACAACATACGGGATTTGATCTCACAAGGGTCAGCAATTCTCAAGGACACGTCACTTCTCCGCAGTCCATCCTCTTCTATGTCAGTGTGGCCAAGAGCTGGAGAAGACGTTTTATTTCATTCAATTGGAAACGATTGTTCGCTAAGCCATTTTATATACAAGACATTTCTCAGTGTAGAAGACTTAATGACTGGCTGGTGATGCTTAGATCTGAACCACACGGCTTCAACATATAACGAGTGACTGTGTCTTATGACACTTCCCTGGAAAATGTTTAACAATAAAAGGGTTTTTACTAGAAAGTCTTCTTGTCTTTAACAACAGTGTTAAAGTGCTCTAAGCTATTTTTTACGCAAGACCACATAGAAAATGTTCATACTACCTGACAAACGTTACTGAAATAGGTTTCCTGAGAAATCACACCTGTATTTGTGAAAGCCTTAAGCTCTTTTCACACTAACAGTGTTTAAATTACTGCCTTGATTTTTTTTTTCTCCAAACCAGTTAAGCACAAAACCCCACCTCACAGCCGATTCTAAAGAAACCTGTGTCAATCAGTTCCAGTTCATCTCAATGGCAGCGCCTGTCAGGGATTCATCACAGTCACTGCAGTTACCAGCCAGGATAATCACCCGATCACAGTCACCTGAGTTCTGATCCCCCGCACCTGCTGTCACCAATCAAGCCACACTACAAATACACACACATCACAGTCACTCACTGTCCGGTCTACCGTTCACTCCTATGGACTGCTCTGGACTCTCTATACGATATTCTCCTAGAAAGACTTACCTTCAGATTCTCCCGCGATCCTCCAACGACTCCTTGGAATCTGTTCCACGATCTACTACGAAACCGGCATAAGATACTCACCCTCAGGACTCAAATAAGAACCCTGGAACTTCAACCCATTCACTCTGTTGACACTCACCTGCCTTAACCTAACCCGTTCCATTCCTCTACCTCTTATATCAATAAATCATCCTGTCTTTCACTTACCCGTTGTGTCTGGCCTTGCTTTATGACAATTCTGGTACTGGAGGGACCCACCGTGGATATCATCCTGGGACACCCCTGGCTAGTTCTCCATTCTCCAGAGATCAGATGGGACCTCATGTGAGGTGACTTGCTGGAGCGAGCACTGCCACCGCAACTGTCTCACCCCACTGACAGTTAAATTCAGGAGTAAATGTTAATTATTTAAATAAGAGGGATCATACAAAATGCATGTTATTTTTTATTTATTTAGTATTGACCTGAATAAGATATTTCACATAAAAGACATATATTTTACATAATATTACATTACATATAGTCCACAAGAGAAAATAATAGCTGAATTTATAAAAATGAGCCCACTCAAAAGTTTACAAACGCTTGATTCTTAATACTGTGTCGTTACCTGGATGATCCACAGCGGGGGTTTTTTTTCTTCTTCTTTTTTAAGCAACTATTACAAAAAGTTCAAACGCTCACTGATGCTCCAGAAGGAAAAACGATGCATTAAGAGCCAGGGGTGTACACTTTTGAACAGAATGAAGATGTGTAAATTTTTCTTATTTTGCCTAAATATCTTTTTTTTT